GCCTTATTGTAAGATTAAAAGCTTTTGAATTATGATCTATTTTATTCCCACACTTTTCTTTTACAATCTTTCCAACTTAGATAGATGATGTGATATAACCATCTTCGTATTCTATAATACTTTTGTAGCTTGGTTGCACTAAAAGTAATACAAGTGTCAATATATGGTTAAAGAGTTATCTCTCTAGTATCTAGGATTTTATCAATTTTAATCATAATTGCATATGCAAAGGTGTCTTTATCAAACTGCTCTTTCTATAACAATGAATTAAAGAGCCTAAAAGGCAACAACAATTATAATGCATTCCAAGCAATATAAGATAATACTACAAATCCAAACCAATAATAAGAATAATTAAAATTCCAAACAACAATACACTAAATTATAGCTTGGTTGTAACAATGTAATTAATTATTCCAAATTCAAAATTAGATCTTAGAAGCTTATAGCTGATAGGGTTTTAATCTAAGAATGAACAGACCCAATCATCTAATATAATAATAATTTGACATGAATATAGGACATTATAAAAACTTTGAAGCTATGTATGAATGAAAGTGTTAGAGATTAGGTACAAACTTTGTATCAAGGTTGTTGACGTTATCTTTATTATCACCAATCTTTACTTATGATATAATTGGTTCTTTACTAGTATATACATTGTAGCATTGAAAGGTATATATTCAACGTTGTTCTCATAAAATTTAATTGATTTCAAAGCTATCATGAAATATATTCAAAAATAAATTGCTTTTAGATATGAGTTATTAAATTTAGATTTATATTATAAAACCAATTTGGCTGATTTTATAACCTCTACTTACTTTATACACTATCTAAAAACCAAATTTTCTAAAGAATTTTTTTTCTTATGCAAATAAAAAAACTTTTGTACAACTTTTGTAGACTTTCAAAATAGGCTTCTAAATATATAGACTCCATTAAAAAATTATTCATATTGTAAGTTATTCTTAGCTTTTACCCTTAGATTGTGTATCATATCAAAATTGAAAACATCCACACTATACATTGTCTCAAAATTAATATATTTTTTTTTATTTTATGGAAATCCTATTGCATGACAAAAAAATTAAATGTAATTACTCTACTTTCTCTCAAGTTTTTATCAAAGAAATTAAAAATAACAAACAAACAAACAATGATTTTCTATTTATTTGCTAAGACAAATCTTTGGTAAGACAAACATGCAAATCTTTGGTAAAACACTAGACACAGTTTCTCAAATATTCAAATGTTTGCAAGTCAAAGGCTCATTATCTATATTTTCAAAACCAAAACTCGAATTATCACTATCAAGTATGCACATGCATCAAGTCATTCATTGGGATCAATGAAGTTGCAAATAAAAACATCGCCGCAACAACAACAACAATAAGCTGCAAAATCACGATCAGAAGCACAAAATTGTCTGAACCCCGCGGCACCGATCGACGCTTGAATCTTATCGCTCAGTCGAGAGAGCTTCCTTCAGTGGTCGATGCGCCGACTCATTCTAGTTTTTGCACTCAATCATATGAATATATATATATATATATATATATATTATTTATAATCGTACACATACGTCGTAGATATGTTCTGATCATAGGACAGGGTATATTGACCCCGAATGCCAGTTCCTGTCGACGAGACGAGTGATTGATACGACAAATACGTGGACGTGGAAATGCTGTTACGATGCGGGTACAAGTGTGAAGTATTCCATGCGGTATGGCGTGGACTTGCGAGGAGGTTCAGTTTGGGTTCCGATGATGCTGTCTGCACTGAGGTCGAAATAGCAACCGAGTGTCTGGTTTGTCTGCAGGCTCTGAAAACGGCCGGAGACAGTCGAGCAGTATGGCAATAAGTCATACGCGGAGTAATGACAGACAAGTTTGGTCCTGAGCCATGACGAGCGCACCAACGCACGCTTGAATGGGGGATGCAGCGATTGGGGAGCGCCAGCATAATACGGCAGCGTGGTCGTGGGTGTGCAGGAGAGAGAGAGAGAGAGAGAGAGAGAGAGAGGGGGGGCGCCGGAGAGGTGCCAAGCAATCGAAGGCAATGACTTGGAGGGAGGCTTCGACAACGTAGCTTTCCAGCTTGGAAAGGAGACCCAGGTTTTCTACGCGTGCAGTTCATGGACCTCGACCCCAGCGGCGCAGAGCATGACTCATTAGTAGTCGTTGCTCGCTACTGTATCCCTGGTGGGGCCGGATTCCTTCCCACGTAGGCTGAAACAAAAAATAATTGCAGGCCCAGGTTTGACGGTTGAATCCAAGGGCGCCTCTTTACGTGATGAATATTATAGTTTTTATTTTCGTAGAATAGTATATATATTTTCATACTGACGGCATAGTCCCCGGGCTCAAATTTTTAGGAAGGCAAATCACTGTTCAGAGTCTGCAAAGTCCAGACGTCGTGTTGGTAATGCAAGAAGGCTCATAACTACCGATTGGCCAGCTTTGCAGCCTTGTTCTTAAGGCGATTGAACAAGCTCTTTGTTATGTAGTGGTTGAATTTAAGTTTTCCAGGAATCAGAGAGAGTAGGAAAAATGTACAAATATTGTGCCAGCTGCGTGCAAGTCTATGTCGAGATTGGAAGGGGTCCCGGCCGGGGCGTGCACTGGACCTGGCCAGTGGTTCTGTAGATGAAGGAAGCACCTGCTTGAAGGGAATCATCCAGAACTTATAATGAAGTGGCAACTTGAACCGAATTGTTTTCCACTGTTCATGGAATCGCAGCGGCTGGTTCCTTCACGACGAAGTGGACCCCTTGCGGAGTCTCAGCGCAGATAGGGATAAGGTTTCACCTAGAGTGAGTGGTGATTTACGAGTTCGGACAGGTTTTGCATTGGATACCTGACTTTCAAAGTGAGGCGCCTGTAAAATAACATTATGCTTTTTGGGCATCCTCCCAAAAATACATGCACTAAAAAAATCAAAGTTTCCAGTATGCAGTTCAAATTTTCAATAGTGACATCATCCATTTGCGAGAAGTGCAGGATAGAAATCAAAGGTAGTCGTTTTAGTGCATGATTTCCAAGGCGTGGCTAGATTCGAAATGAGAAGACTGCGAGACTTGCACTATCATGACTTTGTGCATCATAATCGATGCTGGAAGGTAAACAAGATTGAAGGATACCATGCATCTCCCATGGGATGAGAGTCCAATATAAGTCCAAAATATCTTGTTACTTCTTATGGAATTTTGGTTCACAGTTGAAGGCCCCCCATGTGCATTTCAGTAAACGACTTCGTTGCTGGGCAATAATTGGCAGGAAACAATCCTACATTGTATTGGCAAGGGTGATGACCCCGCGTCTTCAGTGTGGAGATGTTTCGTCTCATATTTATTCTGCAAAGACACGATGGAACCATCATGGCGAGCTTAGAAACTGCAAACCTGACAAAGAAGCGAAAGATAAAATTGTCGATGGCGTGGTGGGGTATACTGTATGTACCAAGAAAAACGACACATTACCTGGCAGGCTGTTAAAAAAAAACACTTTCCCTCAAGCGCACGTCAGTATAGCAGAAAAAACTCACAAGCAGGGCCGATACCAAAAGAATCATTACTGCTTGAAATACGATTTGAAAGCGGGCCGTTAGAACGGAACAGAAATAGGATGGACAACTTATGAACAAGATTGAGCTTTTATAAATGTTTGTGTAAATATAAGTATAAACATGTTTATTTAAACCTACAGAGTTACGTCGTGGGTTTTGCATTGATAAAATATACCAAGCACCTATCTTCATGGTGTTAAGACCATCTTTACATGGAGATCACAACCAGTCTAAGCACACGGCGCACCAAACAACTGCGAAAAGCCACCGTGAGGCAGTGAGAATTCCAAAGCACAAATATACGCAGCCATGTGGCTCTTCATGCCGTTACAATGTAATTTTTTCTCTGGGCCTATTCTACCGAATTCCAGTGTGGAGTCGGTACTACCTCCCTGCATCGGATCTTTCATACTCTACCAAGCTCTCGGTGTATATTTGTGCTGTTAGAATACTTGTCTGGTTGTTGTAGCCTTTTCTGCTGTGTGTATTCGTATTCTAACAGCACAAATATTCACCACTAGTTCATTACATAGCACTTCTTTCGGACGGTAAAGATATTTTAACATTCCAACACACAACTCAGCACCACATTTTAGCCTTTCATGCTGAATACGAATGTTCAAATCCATAAGCAAGCTCGAAAGAAAGACACGAACTAGTGCATGCGGGAAAGCTACCAAGATGTTTTCTCAATGCTCTTAACATGGCTATGAATAAAGGATGCTCAATTATATACCTCTCACTTTAAATTACTTGCTACAATACGTAGCTACCATGTGAAAGCAATGGGCCACTAGTGCACGTCCAACTGTCAGCGATTCCTCACAGAGACAACTCATATCGGTTGAGAGGGATCTGAAATATTGTTACAGACGTTGAAATTTCTCAAGAGAAAAAAAATACGTTCAGATAGCAAAGCACTGTTGCAATAAGTGATAAGCACGAATACACACAGCAGAAAAGGCTACAACAACCAGACAAGTATTCTCCGTAACGGCTTACGTCATATCAATTCAAAAGCGAATCGTCCATTTGTCTCTACTCATACCATCTCAGTACATTACACCAAACCTTCAATGGTAAGTGAACAACTAGGTTCCAGCATTGCGCACCCCTACTCGCTACCTTGTACGTATTTGAGAGAGCCGGATTCGCATCTGATCTAGTTAGACATTCAACAAATTCAATTCAGAACTGATTTCTCGGTTTCAAATAGTGATTACAGATAACGAAAAACAATGCACCATAATACTACCTACTCATTCCATCCTATCAGCCTTAACATTTAAACAGAAGTCAAAGTAACGGATCAGAGTAGCGTTTGTGCTTTAGCAGACATTCTTACGACACATTAAATAATAGTAATATTCAAATGAAGGAACTTACGAACTCATACTGTTCACAGAACAACAAGCCACATCCCAACACACTAGACATAAAGCTGCATGAATGTATTAAGAGAGTTCATCAAAGCCTACAGCGAAGTCACAGGCAAGAGATAACCACGCCCAAGACCATCCGTGGCAGAAATGATCCATCCCGTATTCACTTGTAATTTCAATGTATATATATATATATATATATATATATATATATTTCACTATGTATGCTATTCACTACAATTCAGGTACTGCGAAGACTAATCCCGGTGAGAAATAATAGAAGCCAAATGGTTAGGAATCAATCAGAATGCTCACAGCCCGAGTAAGCGACAAAAGTTGGAGACAAAAAGTGAGTCGTTTTACTACGCATCCAAAAAAAGGCTGTGATACAACAACCGTGCCTACACAGACGAGCAGAAACACGGGCTTCTTCAGAGTAAGCTGAGTGGGGAGTCTCTTCATGCATCCCCCATGACCACCAAAGCAAGAGCTCGCATTGAAAGGAATCATAAGAAGCTACACAATTAGCTGCCAAGGCTTAGCTTCTGGGAGATCAATTGTGGCGCCTCAAATCAACTCGGTAAAGCACGGCGTTGATCAATTGCACCAGTGGTCCCTTGTCCTAACAAGTCACCAGGCAGCGGATAACTTCATCTACCGAATTGCAAGCATCCAAGAACGTGGACAGTAGTTATTGTGTGATCAAAAAAGAGTCAGGAAACTGCCACTCATTCGAGAATATAATCATCTAGCCCTCGAGCGTGGTTGATCACCTCCAGCAGTTGATGACCTCCGAATCTGGTTCTAACAAGCCGCATCAAAAAAAATAAAATAAAATAAAATGAAGGGAACCGCTGAATCCCGCAACTAGCATCATGAGTAGTGTCCGCGTTGATGACCATGACCATGCTGATGGCCACCACTGCCCCCGCCTCCGGAAGATGCCCAGTGACTCAGCACATCCTGCGTGGACAGTTGCTGCTGCTGCTGCGGGTTGTTCAGGTTGGGGTTCTGTGGTGTGACAATGTTGTAGAGCGACTGCAACCCCGGTGGATAATTTAACTCGGGGGCCTGGATAGCCAACGGAGGTGGCTGGTTGGAGCTCCCACCCACAATTGTCAACCCCCCGCTTGGACCTTCATCATCAGCATCGAGAGGCAGCCGTACAAAGGTTGGTCCCATAAACGACGCCGCAATCACAACCACAGGTCCCGCTGCCATTAGTGTCCCTACCACGCTCCCCCCTAGCACTTGCCCAGCGGCTCCGGCTAGAGAAACAGTGAGCCCCGTGGTAGGCTGCGACGAGGGGTGGGGAAGAAATGCGCCGGAGAGGGAGATGATCTCGAACCGCCCATGAAACGTGATGGTTGCGCCGGCCGTCGTAGGCTGGCGCAGCGTCACATTCGACACTGTGCCGCTAGCTCCCATTACACAAACTCCTCGCTGCCGCCGCCGGGAGAACGACGCCACGGAGTCGCTCACGTCGCAACCTCCCGCAACCTCCAGGATGTGTGGCCGCATCGCCTGTCCATTCTCCCGCATAATGATAATGGGAGGCTTGGGCTTATTCTTCGATCCTGGAGGTCGCCCACGGGGTTTCCGCCCCGGTTCCAACACCGCTAATTGATTGTTCCCACCCGATTGCTTTCCCCGCTTTCTCCCTCGCCCGCTGCTTCCACTCTGCTCGTCTTCAGAAGCTGGAGCGCCGGAGGGCCGTGCTCCCACTTCTTCCACCCCGGCCATGAACACATACCCGGCACCACCCTCTCTCCTCCCTCCTCATCACCTCATCCGCACCACCACCTGATCTCCCCTCCTCCTCCTCCTCCTCTTGTTCCTCTTCCTCAACCTCCTACCTCCACATGCAATCAATCCCCCAGAATTCTCCCCCAAAACACTCTCCCGCTCACCCCACATCCCCTTCCTCCTTCATCCTTCCACCATCCCCCTCCATCCTGCGCATTGCCTACTCCCGCTTCCCCTCAGCTACCCCTTGTCGCAGCAACCTCAGAGGCTTCTCCTCCTCCTCCTCCTCTTCCTCTCAAACCATCCGACCTGAGCGAAGACGAGCAGACCACGCTGCGCCCTCTACCAAGAAGTTCAGCAATATTAGGGCCTGGCCACAAGCTTTAAATGTAGCAGACGACTGCAACGGACAACGGTATATTGAACATCGTGCAGGGAAGCGCGTGCCAAAGTAGGATTCCGGCTGGGTTTATAGACAGGCCATGGACAGAGAAGTCGATGACGCCGCTGTTGCTCGCTCTCGCTCTCTGGCAAGCGCGCTCGCTCGCTGGGTTGGTCGGGCGAACCATCGTTGCAGTCCCCGATCTCATTACTTCCCAGCTTTTAATAATCCGCGACCGTGTCTAGTGGCCGTCCGATCCCTTCGTGGCGATGGCGTCTCGGTGTCGGAGCCCCCTCGCGCCCGTGAGCCCACTAAACGCCTTTCGCTCCCTTTCTCTTTCTGCCACCTCCTACTTTTTTACTTTTGCTTTTACGGCATTCTTTTTCTCATTCTTTTTTGTTCCTGTAGTTTTTAATTTTTTTATTTTATTTTGCCTTCTAGAAAACCCTTCCCTTGGCTAGACTGTTTACCAATTCTCTGGATTTGAACCTCTCTTTCCGTGTGTTTGACACTGCTGCCCACCCCTTGAATTAGATCACTAGAAGTCATTGGTTGCCCTTTCTCCACTTGGGGCACAGATTTCCAATGTGTTTGAATAGTGGAAAACTTATATATATAATTCATTCTTTTTTTCTCTCTTTTTTTTTTTTTTTTTTTTTTTTTATTTCTCCCCCCTCCCAATAGGTGGTAAATCTCCATGGATGCAAAAGTTGATGATGCCAATAAGTGTTGTAATTGCATGCACCTTGTAAAGTTAGGCATGACTGCACAAGTCTTTCATTATTCTGCCCTTGATGGAAAAAACAAAACCCTCCATGAAAAGGACTTGCTGTACAGTTAATTAAAAAAACACAAAACAAAACAGAACAGACAATTTTTACCTGAGAGACAGGGTTTATAACAATCCCACCAAAGCATGCATATTAGACTTTTTTTGGTTTCCAGATCCAACAACCTTGGGAGATATAACTATATATATTTTTTTCATTTGTTAATGTATTTTTTGAGTTTTGTATGATATTTCCAATAATTACTACAAATTTCTTCAGACCCATGTTGTGGACAGTTAGAGAGAGCCACACACAAGGATTTAATTAATGCGAAAAAATCAATAGCTACCTGTCTGCCTTATTTAATTATATGTACTTAGTTACTCTTATTTATTTAATTGTTTATATATAGTCAACTTGATATTAATTGTTGCTGTTGCCATAATACCTGCAGTGTTTGTCGAAATCCGAAATCCTACTACAGCATAAGACCAGGGTTGCAAGCATGAAGAGAATAATATATTATTACTACCCAAATGGGTTGGTTGGGTTTCCATTAGGGATCCTATGCCGCTCCACCACCAATCATGGAGATTCCAATTTCAAAACAATGCCAGGCAATCAATCAATGCAATATATATATATATATATATATATATATATATTTCAAAATAAAAATAAAGAAGGAAGAATAAGATACATTTAAAATAAGAAGAGCACTATTTCCAGCACTCACATCTACCCAAGATATGGCTCTTGATTGACCATCTTCCTGCTTTGAACAAGCCTGATAGAAAAATAAATAAATAAATCAATAAATCAATAAATAAATAAAATGGGATGCTATAGACATAGTGAGATTGTATTATGAATATGAAATATGGAAGGAAGTCTCTAGAGGAAGCATGTGATTGCCCTCATAGCCCCATGAACTGCACTGCACTGGGTTGGGCAGGGCAAGGCTGTGCTCTAAATTTTGTGTAATGTTTTGGGGTTCAGCAAATAACAGATGCTTTTTAAAAATAGGGCAGCTGGTGAGGAGTGGCAGGGCATGCCTCTCTTTCTCTCTCTCTCTCTTCCTTTTTTTATGAGCTTGGGGGGCTATGCTTTGATACAGTGACACTGCATGCTTCCTGTAGCTGAGGGCCACTGCCCATGTGAAAGAAAGGCTGAGTTGTGCAGGCATCTGCCCTCTACCCAGAAACCTGCCCGAAACCAAACAGAGGAATACGAAGCATAAGTAGAAGAAATTTTGCTTGAATTCAGGATGGTGCACGGGCTTCGGGTAGTAAGAAGACGGGCATCAAGCCGAAGCCCGCGGTGCCAACCCCATGAGCGACCACACAACAGATTCCGTTCCACATCGGACGAAAACGAGGGGTCATGGATGACGTGGCCATCGGGACACGGCATGCATGCTAACGTCCTCCTCCTGGTGGGAGAAAAGGGCGGGAAAAAGGAAGGGCACCAGGTGGCATCCAGGTGGCTTCGTCGTGAGCTGTGCTAGAGTGGGGCCGTACCCGGGCACCGGGTCCAGGAACCTGCGGGAAAAAGCAATCAAAAGGGGAGACCCCGCGAAAACGAATCTTTGCCCCTCCACCGTTCCCAATAAAGTCCCTTTTCACACCACGATAGAAACGGAAAGTGGCCGTGGCTCGTCCAGACTTCATTCTTCCTACTGGTCGGTGCTTTTGAAGAAGACTACATTCTTCCGGTCAAAAAACGGGTCTAGATTTTTTTTAAAATATATATAGTAAATAAATAAATAAATAAATAAATAAAGGTTGCTACAGTTTTAGATTTATTTTTAAAGTTTTTTGGTGTAATACTTTTAGAAATATATATATATATATATATATATATATATATAAATGTATGTATATATATATATTCTTGTCTTGTTGCTTTATAAGTTTTGTATTTGTTTGTTTGTTTTGGGACTTTTTATGGTGCAACAAGATAAACTCAATTCACCAAGTTTTTGATGAATGCTACTTTATGTTTCTTTTATGAATATTGTGCAATAGTTCCTTTAATAAATTGTATGATAAGTAAATATATATATATATATATATATATAATTTCATATGATGAAAGAAAATGATAATAAAAATCTCATAAAAAAGTGCTTTTCAATATATATACATATAAATTTATATAATTATTTATTTCTAAAAAAACTAATATAATTTATATTTATTTATTGAATTTAAAAATATACATAACAAATTATTTTTAAAAAGTGGCTTGCTTAAATATTTACAAAAATCCACATACTACATTTGGTCTAAATTTTAATAAAACCTCAAACAACATCTTTAAAATCAATGATTTGTACATAGTTGTGTGTAATAAGTCCTTGAATTTTCTGCAATAGAGTTAATATAGTTGATTGTCTTCACAATGGTACCATCTTAGAACCAAAGAGAGGCAAGGGAATAGTTGAAAACGAGAATTTACATCCCTTACAATGTAGCACACTAGGATTATGGGAGGATTGCAAAGGCTTTGGAAATAGGTAAACCAAGAGTTCAGGATTTGGCTTTAATGTTGTGCAATTTGATCAAGAATTTGACAAATCTTACATTGTTCTTTTTTATTTGCAGTCTATACGATGAGCTGAGTCACCTCTACCTAGCTATGGATAGAGTAAGATGGCACCAACGGCATGATATTGCAAGAATCTAAAAACAATATACCTATGTACAACTACCTTGGCCACCCAATTCTCTAGACCTCAACCCAATTGAGAATTGTTAGATGATTTTGAAACAATGTCTTAAAAAGCATTTTTTATAGAAAGAGAAGAGACCTCATGATGTCCAAAAATTGTTTAAAGTGACACAAGAAGAGTGGAACCTCATTGACTAGGGTAGTGTAGATAAATATATAGATGAGATGCTTAAAAGATTGCAGCCAATTCTTAATGCAGATGGATGTCACATTTAGTGGTAGTGAAGCTTAGATGATATTCTCATATCTTGTAAATTTTGTGAATACATAAGCTTGTGTGTGGTTGTAAGCCTCATTAAAGAAAACTTGTTTCTCATTGGCAAGGATAAAAAGACTTATTGCACACAACTATACACATATCACAAAAAATACTTGCTATTTATTGTGTTTGATTATTTTATTATCAATTAAAATTCATAATTTTTTAATTTTATGTAGAACTTAATACTTATACTAACATATAATTAATAGAATATTTTAATAAATTAAAAGAAATTATCATAATATTTATAGGTTTTTAAAATTTTAAAATATAGATATTTAAATTTAAAATTTTAAAATGTAGATATTTAAATTTAAAATTTTAAAATGTAGATATTTAAATTTAAAATTTAAATCTTAAAATATATAAAAAGTATTTTTTATGCTTTAATTTAAAATAAAATATAAATAACTATTTTAAATAAAATTTGGAACTTCCAAACAATAGATTCTTATAGCATACAAATATTATAAGACACTCAAAGTCTTTCGATTATACAAGAAGAAAATACAATAAAAAATCTATCTTTGATTATGGTATTTTGTGAAGAATTTAATGATATCTACTTTATTTTTTCTTTCTAATTTTTTTTCTAATTCTTTTTAATGCCTTTAAAAAAACTAAAATATTTAATATTATTCATAATTAAAAATAGACTCAAGTCTTATTTGGTACATAATTTTCTTTAAGATGAAGTCTAAAAATATAACATTCTAATTCTTATAATTACAATTTTACATACTATAGACTCTTTAAAAATTAATATAAGATAAATCTTAAAATAAAATAGAAATTTTAAGTAATTAAAAAATAACATTAATAAAGTTTAACTACATTATAACATAAAATATAATCTATTGCTAAAACTATAATAGAAGAAGGCTTAGACCTTGTTGAATAAGAATTAATTGGTTTTTCTTTAATAATATTATTTTAAGGATTTAATCTTTTTGAATAAAAATTTAAAATATTTTTCATATAATACTTATTACAAAAATAAAAATAATTTAAACAAAAATTTTCATCAAAGAAATTACATGATTTTTTTTAATAAAAATTATATAACTAAATAAATCTAAAAACACTTAAAACCATAATATTAATATTGTACCAATATTTGTTTTATAAAAATAAAATTATTATTATTTTTTTATTTTTTAAGCCAATTATATCAAATGGTTTTACTATTTTATTTTATTTTCTATTATTATTCTATAATATTATATAATTATTATATGATTATTTATAGTATATTGGTAATAGTATAAAATAATTATTTATGAAAATTACTTTTTTTATTTTTATATTTAAGACATTCTTACTTAAAATCAATTATTTATGGTGCAAATTTGAACAAGTAAAATAAATTGATTATAATCTAAAGTTGATTTTTAATGACGTTGAGTATAAGAATGGTTGAAAACATACATATA